ATCATTCCTCATCTGCTCCCAACAATTCTGTCACTTGTACAGACACATCATTGGTTATATCTTTATTTCTGTGGTAAGTTTCTTGTTACTGTTTTTAATCTTTTGTTCCATTTGTGTTTTCCTTTTCTTTACCTGAAACTAAATCTCTTAGCACTGAAAAAAATAATGCCCATTTGACCAGTGAGTACAGAACTTGAACATTTCTTAGGACCAAGATTATTATATAACTAATCTCTCTGTAATGTAAATGTAAATTGTTCCATAAATTCTGCTATAATTTAAAAAGTAAACTGTTCCATAAACTCTGCTATAATTTAAAAATGAAAATATGATAAACTCCATAGCTTAAATATATTTTCATAAGGTTTCTAATTTTTTTTTTTAACAAGGTCTTTCAGCGTAACAAGTAGGCATCAATGTCTTTTCCCTTTCAGTTCATTTTTAAAATACACTGAGTCATTTTACAAAAACTTTTTAATATTTACCTATGAAAGAACAACTCAAAAGAATTTTTGATTGAAGAACTGGGAGGAGGGGTGGGCGGAAATGGTATTTCAATGTTTCCCAAGATAAAGATTCAGCTACAATTTACATAGCAGGTGTCTAATTGCTCACAATTTCCTAAACAACTACAAAATAGTAGCAAATTATAACAGATATTTTGTGAAAATTGATACCTATTAAAATTGTGTATGGAGTCCAAGGCAGTCCACCTTCTTCAGAAGTCAGGGATAATGGGGCTCAACACCCTCATGATTCAGAGGAAGCTCTGAGGACCCATCATGCCTTTGGAGAGACTGGAACCCAGTGTCGGCTCCACTTGACCAAGATGCCCGCCCACCTGATTCTTAGTCCCCATTCTCAACTCTACTTCCAGGCATAGTTTGAGCCATAAAACAAAGCACTTAATTGTATCATCCATATGAAAACTTTAATTCAAGCAACAAACATATTAAGAAGCGATTTCCCCACAAATAACTAAAACAATAATTCTCAACAGATCGGGAAAAAAGCAGATGACAAAAAACATTCTAATCTAGGAAAAAAGCAAAAACAGTGCTCTTTGAATGTTTCTAATAAGAAAATTAATTTCAGACTCCTCTGACCATTTACTGGAATTGAACTTTTAAATAAGTCTCTAATAGATTTCCATTTTCTGCATCCATCTGCAGCTACGAAGAGAGCAAAATACAGATAAATATTGCTTGTAGTAACTGAGAAATGTTTAAAATGAAAATCATAGCATGTAGCAAAATCAAGCAAGAGCATAAATAAATGTACCAATGTAGTTAATCTTTCTTACCGTAAACACTTTTTGTCAAATATAACACATTGTTGAACACCGTGGCAAATACAATTCCTTATGAACTAATGCTATTTTCACAAAGGGAAATTTCTCCAAAATGAAAAAGCACCAAGGTAAATTCATTAAAATAACTGATATTCATGGTTTGGAAAGTTCCTCATGGCAAGATTTTACAATGGAGTAAAAATTTAAACTTCTGAATGAAAACCATTTACATTAGTTAAGGCACATCTGGACACCTCCAGGCGTTCATATTTATAACTATATTATTATTAACTTCAGTAATAAGGGATTCCTAAAAACACAGCCTGTCCCTGAACACAATCTGCTGGGTGGGCTGGATAACTAGAACAGGGAAGGAGGCAGGCTAGTACTCACTGTCACCCTAGAGATTACCCACACAAATCTGTTCATGTCATAAACACTACAGAATTCGAAGCTGAAAGAAGCCAAAATATGTACCTCCTAGTTTTCTAGATCCTACATTGACGCTGACTGACCCATACTATGATGACTACCTGTCATCATTCTCTACAACCACACTTGCATTTGAAATGATTCTAGCAATTCTAATTCCAGCCTACCTTATATTTAACACATATACCCCAAAAGACAAAGGAGAATTCTCTAAGTGGGGAAACAAATTAGAAGTCTTCAAAACCATTCCTATAACAAAGAATCCCCACTCAGCCCAAATAGACATGGGAGACCCATAGACGCAACTACATTCAAGTAAGATCAAGAATGTCCTTCTTTTCTCAGGTTAGGAAATAAAACTTCTAGAAGAACCTCAATTATAGAAAGACAAAAAACCTGGTTGATTTAGTTCCTCAATAGAGTATAAACTCAATCATAATTCTATTTTAAACTTGGGAAATTTAACTTTAAACAATTAACCAAATAGTCTCTATCAGTTCCAACAGGTTTTGACCACTTGATATGGAAGTTTACCTACTAAAATGGTTTTTTAAAGAGCAACTCAGATAGAACTTGGCACTGTTTTTCCTTTTTTGCCAGATCATATTTTCACTCAGATTAAAACATAGAAGCTAGAAGCAAAGTAGGTAATTCTATACAACAAAATATGAAACATAATGACAACGATGGTTGTTAAGTGACATTTTTATATACTTGTATTTTTAATACTTCGCAAAAAAAATCTTGGAACTTCTCTAGTAACTCCTGAGTTATACATTTTATTTTCTACTTGAAGCTGAAAAAAAAGTAGTCTCAAAACCTAAATTCAAAATAAAACTATACAAAATAATTTTTGAACTGAGAACTAGACCTGATTAGAGAAAGCAGACACATTTTCACTTCTATCATAATTCTTTTGAGTTTCTTACGAAATTAAGCGTGAAACTGTATAATGATACAATATTCTTAATGTTATAAACTTTTTCTCTACTGTACAGAAATATATCTTATAATTATATCACTTTACAGTATCTCAAAATACTTTCACATATATTATCTCCTTAGAGATATGAAAGCACAAAATATTAGAAATGTACTAGACTAACCAAGCGATATAACATCTATTTGCCATGAAATGCAATTTAATATTTTATCAATAGCCAATGTTTATATCCTCGCGGCGTAAGGTACAACAATAGAGTCTATATATTTGCAAAGATTCAATAATGTTTCTAGCTATTTGGCCATGCTTCGCCGCATTTTTAAAACAGCTTCTCAATAAATTTCTGCAAGCATATGGTAGTTTTTAAAAATACAAAACATCACAGTCAAACCCAGAGGGCTGTTTCATACCTAAGACCCACTTAAATACATATCTATAGATCTTAGTTAAAAAACTATTAATTGTACAAAGTATTCTTTATAGAAAAAAAAATTCCAGACACTCATAATTTTTATTTGCCGAAGGAATGACATCCCCTCACTTGTTCTCCACTGAAGAATTCTCTCATAAATTAATTGCAGATTAAATAGAGGAATCGTACTATTACATATGAATATGGATCCTAAAAACAACATAGTGGGAAAAGGCCACTGTTTTAAATGGAAGCCAGGCAGTTTTTCCCTTGAGACTAAGTATTCTCAAATTAATTGGCACAATCTAATGAAAACCCTAATTAGGAATAACATTCTAAAAGTTAAATTGTTGAAGGAAATGTTTTTACTTGTAAGGGCTCTGATATACTACAGTTTCCAAGTCACTTCAGATTATATCCATTTATTTTAGTCTCTGTCCACTGTTTTTTAATATTTTAATATCTGGTCACAAATTTTTAATATTATACACTTAGAAAGCAGTCTGACCACTTTATCATGTATTCAAAATTGGTAAGATATTTTGGATTAATCATGTTCCTACAATTCGGTTCAATGTGACAACTCCTCTCACTGTCTAATTCTGGAACACTGTTTCTTGGCTCTAAGGGGACACTGCTACAAGCACCACATTAGAGGGTCCATACAAAAAAGAAACTGAAATGCAAAAGCAGAACTGTTTCCCCAAATCTTTATGCTCACTTCACAAAACAACAGAAAGCAAAAAATGGGATATTACGGGAACCAAAAATGAGAAAACGCTGTATATTAATTGGACTATGATAGACAACTTGGTTACTAATATTCATATTAAAAAGTTAAGTTTGAGCAACTGTGATATTTCATGTAAACTTCAAAGCAATAAAGTATTTCTAAAGGCATACTGTTGATATATTCTCTAGAAATCCTCTGCCGGAAATCCCCTGATCATAAAGGTTAACAGAAGATGGTATGATATGACTAACAAATAGGACATAGTAAAAATTCTCGGGGGCTTAAAGTGAAATCTAAAAGCCCAAGAGACACACAAGAGCCAATTCCGCTCCACAAATGAAAGTGAAATTTTTTTCTATTAATTGCTTTACCTATATTTGTATGTACGCTTTGAAGTTCCCACCACAGCGTTTCTGATTATTTTCGGATTTGTAATATTAATTAGTAATAGTAGTACAGGAAATAAAATTACTTGCTCTTAATACCAGTATCAACACATTAAGGGCTTGCTAAACCTAAGGATATGGAATTTTAAATCTATTCTCAATTTCAAGGTTTGACAACTTAGAGACACATCAAATTGTTTTCTTTTTTAAAGATACTCTGGACTAAGCACTCTTATTAATTTCATAGCCCACGGAACACTGAGATAGTCAAGGGTTTAGGGACAACTGCCTTGTTGCCAGTATAAGAAGCATGCTGTTTAAAAATGAATAATTTCTTTCCTTTTCTTTTTTAATTCTTTAGTCATTTGCATTCAGAAACAAGCACCAAATTTATATAGAACAGCCATTAAAGCAAAATCCTTTTCTTGGACTTTTGCATCAAAATTGGTTCTTAAGCATCTAACATAGAAAAACATTTTTGTTATTTTTAAAAAAGCAAATTCTTGGTTATCGTACCGTTGAAAGTGCCCCCTCTGTTCCACTTAAATTTCAGTACGGGGGATCACTTGAACGTACTCTAGAAAAGTACATGCTGGCTGACAAAGACGGCAAGTGAGGGCAAGTGCAGAGAGACAGAAAGGGGAAAGGACACTGGGGCCAAGAAATGGGCGGGGACATGACCGCTGCCCGAGAACACAAATTTCACGTACCCGAATTTAAAAATAAGCACGTGGAGGTGTTGCAGTGACGAGTCCAAATTACTTTCCGAAAAAGTCTGAAATGACCACATTTGTTTTTCCAGCTTAAGAAATAAATCCATAAATTGGGCAAAAGCATGGCAAGAGAATGAAATTTATCCTCTTGCTTTTTATTCGTGTAGACTGGCATCTCCCAAAGAATTTACTTGATATATCAAATACTACATGATTATTTCTAGATACATTGAAAATAATTTAAAAGCAATTACTACAGACAGAATTTGAAAAGTCACACCCTAAAAGCATTACAGAATACCATTCGTTTATTGGGTCTTGCTTAAAACTTCTTACGAAAGATTAAATTCATTGTCATCCAGAATGAAAAACCAACAACAAAACGTTGACAACAGAAATCATAAACGGATGGCTTAAATTTGCAATGTGACCTCCGCTCTTCTGGAGACCTTGCGCGGTTCCTCCCCGCTTACCTACCGCTGGAGTGTGCGTTCCCTGACAATTCACTGTAATTGTCCCTCACCAGGGGAATCTGCAGTTCCAGGATCTTCACAGTCTTTATTAGGAGTTTCACCTTCTTCCTCATTCTCAGCGGGAGCTGCACTCTCCTTCCTCTCCGTGGGATTGGTGCCTGTTTTTTCCGGGTCAGAATTCGAGTTTTCGGCCGTACCGTCCTCTGTGTTTCCCGGCTTGGTAGCTTCACTGCTGGGCTCGGCGCCCGGCCTGTCTGTCTCTTCTCCAGGCCCTCCAGGTGCCGCCTTTTTTTCTTCCGCCGTTTTGCTATTTAAATGAACAGCTGAGGAGGAATTTTTGGATTCCTTGGATTTTTTCTGCATAGAAGTTTGACTGATATGACCAGAGGTGGAAGGGGCAGGCATTTTCTGGGCTTTGCTTCCCTCTGACTGTTCTTTCCTCGGCGGCCCCCAGATAAAATTCTCTGAAGGCGTATAATGTTTCTGGGCAAAACGTAGGAGTTTTCTCCTCTCTCTCCTGTCTCTAATCGTATAAACAAAATACTCCAGAGCACTCTGTTTAATATTGGGAATAGTATTTTCCACAAGAGCTTCATGAAGAATAAATTTTACAAGAGGAGACTTAAAACTTTCATATCCAAGCTCACCAAGGCTTTTAAGAATACGAGTGATTCGTAAATAGTTGTGCTGGGACCTGAAAGAGAGGATTGAATAAAATGTTGGGGGGTGTGGAAATCAGGTGAAGGAAAGCAGGGGAAAGAAAAATATTGGAAAAATATTTTTTAACCGAACAATGACTTTACTGAAAGTCGTATTAGACACCATGGGAAGAGTAAATCAGAAGTTATTAAAACCTTATATACGTCAATGTAATGCCAATCTATGTGAAATTCAAATACATAATATAAATTCCCCTTGTTGCTTTAGTTCTTCATATCTGAAAAGTATTTAGATCTAAAACTGATTCCCACTGATGTTGAACTGTTGTTTATTAAGTACACTGAGGATGTGATCTACTGGAGCATTTATTTGCAACAACACCAACTGTATTGTACCCACCACAGGTAACTGGTACCAAACATAAATGCAACATTAGCTGTCAGCTGAAGGTATGATTCACAGTGTCAGCAAAATCCACCATTTTAGCCAACTTACACGGAAAGCAGCAAAAACCACTCTACCTTGCTAGAACAATCTGACAAAGGATGCAAAACTGACTTCTTTAGCAGAACATAGTTAGGAGCATGGGCTTTGGAGTCACACCTGAGTTTGCACCATGGCTCTACCACCCACAGCTATGTGAAGTTATGGTATCGCTCTCTGACTCAGTATCCTCATCTGTAAAATAGGGGAAATGGCCCATCTTACTGGACTGTTAGAAGAATCAAAACGAGTTGAGACATATGCAAGGCATGTAGAACTCAAAAAATATTAGATACTACTTAAAATGCACATTGTTATTGTTATGATTTTAAATATGGTACTAAGGGCCACCTCTATGTACCTCTCCCAACTTAATCACCTAATTGTCTTCCCCCCGTGGCCTCTCTCTCCTTTTTCCCCAGAGTGTTTTAAATTTTGCTTCTAATGGCATGGACTCCAAAGATGCCTTTTTCCCCAAATTGCACAAACTTCTTCTCTGTCCCCAAACTAAGGCCTTTATCAGATGGAAGGCTTTCCAAGCCTCTATCTCTCACAATTCATAATCTATCTGCCCTACAACACCGGGCAATAGTTGCCTTATTACAAATACCTGGCTGCATCCATCATCAACAGCCCAGGTATTTATTTACCCTATACTGACACACAACCATAACCACCACTTATTTCTAGCTTCCTAAAACCTGTTTTATACACCGGACATTGAACTTTATACAAGCAATGCATATACCTGCTTTGGTTTCCAAAAGCACTTGGCGTATTTCACTTACAAAGAGCTAGCGAATTATTTGGGAAAAGTGAAGAAGGATGCTGAATTACCTGAGGGACAGAAGGGGATGGTTCCACAGTCTTACATTTTAATAGGAAAGCTTATCTGGACAAAACAATAACCTTCATGATTCAGGCTAGCCAAATCTCGGTAAAGACAAGTCCAGCAGTTTCATCATCCCTGTTCTTCTGGATGTTTACCACAAAAGTATTATCCTAATATTCGATTCTTTGAGGCCAAAGGGGTAAAATATAGCAGGTATGTTTGTGTCTTATGGATCTGTATTTTTTAATAGTTAGGAAGTAAGAGTCTTTTAAGACAACATGCATTTGAATGAGGTTAAGACCATGTGCCATTAGCAGCAGAGCTGACTTAGTGTTAGGTTAGTATGGAGTTTCTCTTCTCCAAAAACTTAGTGATAAAATCCTTGAGCAACACCTGCTTCATAAATCTGAGAAGGAGATGTATGGAAAAGTGGGGGGAATATCTTTCTTTAAAAATCCCAAAGATGAGTTACCTGATCCAACAAAATTTACTCTATTGCAACCAGCTCAACTGCACATACCCAGTCTTAGATGAATGGCCAAGATGAAATTTCTGTACACATTTATCTGTATCTATATACTCTCCGATTTAAAATACTTATGTAACAGTAGAAAAGGACAAATACTTGGGTTGAAAGAGAATGAAAATGAGGATTATGGAACAGAAGTATACAAGAGAGAAATTGAGTGCTTCAGTATGATTTGAAATAAACATGACAAATAAAGACAAAATGGAAGAGAAGAGAACAGCTAAAACCCTCCTAATGTTATGAGCGGTCTTTGGGGTTGCACAGCAGATAAAAGAGAGAAGCCGGGCTTCCTAACAGAAGTAAGGGTGGTAAATAGGGCCCCAGGTGTCAGGAAGACCAGACAGGTGAAGAGAGAACACACAAAAGGCAAGAACCAGGAGGCAGAAAATAAAAGTGAGAAGCAGTTCCAGAGTCTAAAGTATGGCTCCATAATCTAAGGTGATTACAAAGAAAACTGGAAATACATCTGAGTGGTTGGTCTATATATTTGTACTCCCGTGTTTGAAAATATTTCACTTTTTTTAGTCATGGTCACTTATTCACTGAACATTACTTCATTTCACTTTCATTCAATACTTCTTTGTCTGCTGGGCTACTATAAATATATTGAGTTTCCTGCCTACTCTAAGAAACTCAAGATGTCACACAGATTAAAACACAAATAAAAGCTCTGTGCAATACCCAGGGAAAGGGAAACGAGAGACGGTGGGCGGTAGAAAGAAAAGGATCTGAATGGGGCCAGGGAATGTGATGGTTAATTCAGGCTCCCTTCCCCTGACCCAAGCCAGGAGATCATTTTAATTAAAACTTTCAGAAGGGTTCTGTTTCCAGCTATCAGTTAGAGGATCTGAAAATAAAACTCCAGGGAGAATTTAAACTGGCAAATGTCTTTTGTTCATTGTTTGTTCGTTCAACAAACATTTACTAAACAAGATTGCTATTCCAAGAAGTTGGAGACGGCGATTCTCTAAAATGACAGTCGTGCTGCCATCCTTCAGGTCAGTAGACTACTTGCATATAGCTTCCATTGACGGGATGACAGAAATGCTCAGAAACTCTGTCCAGAGAAAGCTACCCACATTGCTTAGGCAGAGGTAGATATGCTTCTGTTGTAAGTGCCCTATATAAATCAAAGTTAACTTGAGTTACGAGTTAATGGGTCTTCTAGTCAGGATCATAAAGCTTTATGTCCATATCTTCAGTGTTTTAGTACAAGCTACCATTTTAATAGTGTTGACTGTGACTAATAAAGTAAAAAGAAGGCTTAAGCGTAATACTTATACTCATTTTAGCAAAGCAAGATGAAAGTTCTAGAGAAAGACCAAAAAATTCAGTTAACTGATGCTCAAAACTGTTGGGCAAAGAAAAATTTCTTAGGTTACTTTTTTTTCCTTGGTACTTGCCCAGCTCAGCTAATCATAATGTGTTAAAAAAAAAAAAATGCTTTAAAGTTGCTGGTTTTATGGTCCAGCATTCATAAGTCACCCTATAATTAAAAAGAAAAAAAAATCGGTTTGCATACAAAGAAAATAATAAGAAAAATAAACTTTGGCTATAAGTATTAGTGAAAGTTATAAATATCCAGGCAAAAGAATACAGTAAATCAACTCCAAATAAACCACGTTAAATTTTCTTCACAGGTTTTAGGATTTAGTAAGCAAAAGTGGGCTTTTGTTTCTTACCTAAATAATGAAAATTCTAATTTTCCCTCTTCTTTAGAAATGTACGGGCACATCTCAGTCTTATAAAATGATTTTTTATATGTCATAGGCCTAATTTATGGATTTAATCTAACAAGGTACCATGCTCGACGAACAGACTGTGCCGCAAGAAGCTCACAACCTAGCAGAGGGGATGTGGAAAACTATACAAGAAATAAGTATAAATGCCAAGAACCATGGTATAAAGAAGGAGAGAGGCCACACTTGGCCTGGGCAGTCGACAGGTTTCAGGAAGAAACAGCTCTGAAGAGGAATGGCCTTATTCCTACCTGCAATTTCATTCTTTCTTGTTGTTTTGTTGTGCTTTAGAACATAGAACAAGGAATAAAAAGCATTTCAGACTAGCTTTTGAATTCAAATTCCTGGGTCCATCTACTAGTTGTTCCTGTGTTCCATAGAGAATTCCAACCCAGAAAAAATAACATGCTGGCCCCTGATGCACTGCAGGGCTTTACTTACTCATTCAGATGCTGAAACCTCTCCTGCCAGTTAACGGCCCGAGCAACATTTCCAGTTTTATCAACCAGTTTTATTCCAAAAAATTCTAACATCATCTTATAAGCCAGGAGGAATCTTTTAATTGCTTCTTTTGTTTTTTTGAATTCCTAAGGGGGGGGTGGAAAAGTCAGCTGAAATGATTCGGTAGTTACCAGGACAATAAAATAGCAATATTATCTGGCCATCTCCTATAAAATGAAATGAGCTTGCATTACCTCAATTTCATATGTAGTTAATTCTTTAGCATAAAAGTTCAAGCCTTGTTCTCTCAGGGGGAAAAGCCTATTTTTTAGAAAAATAAATATTAATGTTATCTGGAAAACATACATGATTAAATAGACACGGTTCAAGATACAGAAATGTTAACTGACCATTGAATATAAGTGTGGTTGTGCTCCAGCTTTTCATAATCTCCTTTCCACTTATTTAGAACTTCTTCAATGTAAACACCTAAGTAGTAAATATTTAGAAAATGAGCCAGACATTTACGACATTGTTGAAGGCACTTTCACATTTAACCACTTAATCTTTATATTAAAACCTCTGACATTTTAGTAATAGCACGCAGAAATTATGCCAAGATGCATACCCTATGCCATATGCTCAGTTATGTAATAGGCCTAATTCTTCAAAACTCAGTGGCGCCTCAAGTCACAGAAAGTTCTATCAGACGGGGTTACTCTAAAGCAGTTGACAAACTATGGCATTTGTTTTAGAAATAAAGTTTTATTGGAACACAGCCATGCACACTGCAACAGAGACCACATGGCCCACACAGCTGAAAATATTTACTATCTGGCCCTGGACAGAAAAAGTTTGCCAACCCCTGCCCTAGATGGTCCTAAGTTCTGTATCTTATTTATTTATTTTTTTAGTTCTTTAAATACAAGACGGGATCAAAATGAAATGTAGCCCAGGGAAAAAGAAAGGAATAAAAGAGGTGAGAGAACAGAAAGAGAGGGAGAAAAGCATGAGAAAGGAGAAGGAAAGAGAGGAAGGAAAAACAGAAGAAGGACCCATTTGGGTACACAGCGTGTACCCACACAGTGTACACCGTCCAGCTTCATGGCCACAGAACTCTCCCAAGCCAGGGCTACCATCCCCATCGTACCAATGAGGACATTGTATGATTTGTTCCAAGTCACACACTAACAAAAGAACAAATCTAGGAGTAGAATAGAGGTCTTTCTGGTTCCAAAAACTAAGCCCTCTTTACACATCCTACTGTTTCCCCATAAGAACTTATTAGAGCTGACCCTTGAACAACACTGAGTTTGAACTTTTTCGGTAAGAATACAGTACATAATGCCTATCACATACAAAATATGTGTTCATCAACTATTTATGCCACTGGCAAAGCTTCCAGTCAACAGGAGGCTATTAGCAGTTAAGTTTTGGGGAAGGCAGAAGTCACACGTGGATTTCTGACCGCACAGGGGTTAGGGCCCGTTACCCCTACACCACCGTTCAAGGGCCAACTGTAGAACAAAACCGTCCTGCTTCTCTAATTCTGTCTAGGTCCCCAAATTTGACTACGTGGCCATTTAGTCAATTTTACAGAAAAAAAACACAACGTATTTCTCGAAACGTAATTGATTTCATTCTCGTTTCCACCACAGATCACCAGTTTGTAGTAGAAGTCTACTCTTGGAAGCTTGAGTAAAAAGTTGTTTTGAATCATACTGTTGGCCCTATCAGCGTTTTTAAAACCATTTACCCCATGATTTCCCTTCCCACTACCCCTCCTCCTGCTTAATAATTAAAATACATCATTGCAGGCTTATGCTTATTGGCAAGTGTTTGTGTGGGGTGGGGGGAAGGATATGCGTACGTGTACACATATTGGGGAGGAAAGTGGGTGAGTTTATGTAATTTATATAATAAACCAGAATAACATTTTATGTGACCTTAGATAAAACTCCTGACCCCTACCAACCCTATAAGATTTCAAAATAAATTTTGTGGTAAAGATTACAAAAAATTAATGCAGTGCTTGAAGTTATTACTTTAAATTACTACCTCAAAAATAAATTCACTACTAGAAATACAAAAATAATTCAGTTAAATACTGTCATGTTCAATGTTTTTAATATTTAAAGGCATTCCTTTAGGTAAATTTTATTAAATTCAAGTCAGAGTCAAATTAATCTATCATTGCATTTCTTCAAAAGGTTTTCTTGTCCCAGGCCCTAAAAAAAAACCTTAATAATTTAATTAGTATTATTTCAATTAGTAAATAAAGTGGTGTGTTTCTATCATTAGTAAATACAACAGAGCATTTTTATCCAGATGTTTCCTCCTAAATCAGAGCAGATTTTGGGGACACAATCTGGCCGTTGCAACAATGTTCTTAAGTCCAAACTCCCAACTGTCACATCTCTCAGTACACAGCAGAGGAATTCCTCCTCCCAGCACTCCACCCAGCCTTCAGACAGCCTTCATCCAGTTAGTTCACCAAAAAATGTAGTCCTGCTACTTGGAAAGCTTTGCAGTCTATGACCCTCATTCCCTGACTCACATGGCTGTGGATATGGCTCAGTTTCCACTAAGAACAAAGAGCAGAAGCCAGGGCCATCTGGTCACCTCACAGAGATAAGGGTGAGAAGGAGAGATGCCAACTTGGCTGGTTTGACCTGGATAAAATTAGGATGCCCATCATGAACCACAGCATGGTGCCTCAGGGAAATATGCATATTACCATAGTGGATGCATCCTCTCCCTACAGGGGGAGAATCTTAGAAAAGATCCTACGAGGGCAGTTTTGTACAGTTGTGAAGGAGGAGGCAGTTTATTTGGCAGAGTTGAATGGAAATCTGTCTCTGGAGTTCCCTTCCCAGGATATTGGAACACTGAACTGGGACTGCTGGAGCTCCCTGACCCCTGACTCTGAAAATCAACAGGAAAGATAATTCTAATATAAACATTACTTTTCAATTATGTTCTAAATAATTTGGTGAAAAGAATACTGAACTCTGGATCCTAGACCCAAATCTACAGTCAAGTGATCAGACAAGTCAGTCGTTCAAACTTTAAGACCCAGTAACCTCATCTTTAAAATGAGGAAGATTAATTTGATTTCCTCTAAAGTTTCTTAGTAATCTAATATACTATGATTCTATAAATTTATAAATCTTCTCTCTTTGCCTCTCACAGAAGTGGCCCCCACTTTCTTTAATACAATAGCCACCATGAACAAGTGGTGGGAAGGTATTGCTAATTCACAGTCATTCCCCCAGAAATTGCCAAGTGGATGTTCACAACTCTAGAGTCTAGGACTTTGGGGACACATTAGACTACAGACCAAAGTAAAGCCAGTCAATGAACAAATGCATTAAAAAGGTACTGACCACAGAATAAACAAAGAACAACTAGGTATATGTTATTATTTAAAGTTTGCTTTTTACCAGGATAGCAGATTACTCACCATCTGGCTTAAATGGAATTTTATTCTTATAAAAACGAAGATTGCTCAAGTCATTTTGATATCGGATATCTTTGAAGTTCTGCTAAAGGAAAAAAATAAGTCAATCTCCAGCATATGGACATATAAAAAAGGCACAGGACTCTTCTTGCATGTTTGCTTACTAGCACCACAAAATAAGAAAAACAGAAGGGAAATATTTTGCATTTTAGAAAAAACATTCTATACTCTTACTGGGTACTGATGTCGATATTTGTACAGATCCCTCGCAGCATAAAAGCTTCTCTTTGGTTTGGCAGTTGCTTCAGTGGCATCACCACCCTAAAATAAAAAGTGAAATTCCATTTACATGGTGAAGGAAGATAATCTGAGAAATTTCTAGAACACTTATAATAATGAACATCCATAAGAAAAGCCTGAAAGGTAATAAGCTGTTCAGAAAAATGACGATATTAGAATTTTTTTTTTATTACTCAACTTTTTATTAAGGAGAGTTTATAACTTACTCCACAGCAGGCATAGTATTATAGTAAGCCCTGAGTACTTATCACTAAGTCCCAGCAACCACGAGGCCACGGTTAACCTTGTTCCATCTAGAGCTCTAGAAACTTTCTTTTAATGGTGCCTACTAGCAACATTTTTTGGCATTCTATTTGCCTGATTTGAACCCAATAACATTTGTCCTAAGGTATTTTACTGAATAAAAAAACTTTTATTATTCACCAAGAACCTATAGAGGCCAAATGTCCTAGATCAATATTCATCAGATACAGAACTCAAAATGAATTTAAGACATTTACTTTACCAGAGGTCACACGAGTGATTCTATGACAAAATTTATTTTTGAATACATAATACTAAAAATTTGTTAAGATAATAAATCAATTCTACAAAGAACATTGTCATTAACTTTGCAACATTTAGCTGTACTTAGAAGGAAAATAAAACTTATGAAATGATTTGCAACTACGTGGATAGAACTGGAGGGTGTTATGCTGAGTGAAATAAAGTTAATCAGAGAAAGACATGTATCCTATGACCTCACTGATAGGAGGAATTCTTAATCTCAGGAAACAAACTGAGGGTTGCTGGAGTGGTGGGGGGTGGGAGGGATGGGGTGGCTGGGTGATAAACATTGGGGAGGGTATGTGCTATGGTGAGCGCTGTGAATTGTGCAAGACTGTTGAATCACAGATCTGTACCTCTGAAACAAATAATACATTATATGTTAAAAAAAAAAAGAAGATAGTAGGAAGGGAAAAATGAAGGGGGGGAAATCGGAGGGGGAGACGAACCATGAGAGACTATGGACTCTGAGAAACAAACTGAGGGTTCTAGACGGGAGGGGGGTGGGGGGATGGGTTAGCCTGGTGATGGGTATTAAAGAGGGCACGTACTGCATGGAGCACTGGGTGTTATACGCAAACGATGAATCATGGAACACTACATCAAAAACTAATGATGTAATGTATGGTAATTAACATAATAAAAAAAAAGAAAGGGGGATTTTTTTAAAACAATCTAAATAGCTTTCTAAACTCCATCCTTCATAGCACCATAACAAGTACACACAGGCATGAATAATCTGTGAATCCAGTGATAACACAAGGTGACATAAATCAGCAAATTTAAGACATCTATACACAAAGTAGTAAAAGCTCTCAAATGAAATGAACTCAGATTGTAGTAACTTATATGTGGTAGTTTATTCATACTATTTAAATTCTAAAAATTCTCACCACCATGAATAATTTTTAAAATGTAAGATATGGGTCAATGTAGTCAGTTTCAATTCTCTAACTATACGTACTATTCGAATGTATAAGGAAATGCTTTGTGTCCCGCGTCATGCAGAAGGACAATAAGACAGATGACAATGAGGAAAGAGAAGACCCAGTTTAGGTCTGAATGTTCCTTAAGAGCTTCACCCCCCTCCCAATCCCTTTCTCATCATCGTCCACCCCCATCTGTGTTGACAGATTAGCATCCTCCAAGCAATTTTCGCACATTTTTGAAGTGGTGTGATTCTCACTATTACTACAAGTATAGAGATACTTACTTTAACACCAAATTCTCTGATGTTTAACATTAACTACTCTGTCATGTTATATAAGCAAGGAAAAGCTTAAATTCTGGTCCTTGCCACACGTTTCAAAATAGCTCTGCCTAGCAAGTTTCTGAATCTATTTAAGCCTGAGCTACAACCATATGAATCATCATCTTACATTTGTATAGAAAGCACTTTTCCATTTACAAAGCACTTACATGTATATTATTTCATTTGATTCTTATGACACACACCTGGATGGCAGTTATTAGTGTTTCCAGCTTAGAAACAAGGTAACCCAGGCTTAGAGAAGTTGAACAAGGCCCCAAAGCTCAGTGAGAGCACAGGAACTGGAATCCCAGGCTTGGGGCTACAAGGCATGAATCCGTTTCAGCTCCACTAAAAGTGAAGGAGCATGATAGGAACCTTGGTAAAATGTCAACAGCCCAAGACTTGGCTTGTCTTAACTCTGCTACTTATTTGTGAGGGCTTAAGCCAACCACTTAACTGAATCTTAGTTTCATCTTCTGTGAAACAAAGATAATGACTCATGCCCCTACCTATTTCCCAGGATTATCATGAGAATGACTGCATCCTCCAACCTCTAAATGTACCAACCTGCAAGCATCTGACCTTGTTCCTCCAACTTCTGCTCCTTTTGGATTCCCTATCCTGTGCCTTTCACCTGCTCAGCCAAGGATTTTTTTCCTTAATATATTGTTCCTATTTCCTGCATCATCAAAATTTCTCTCTCTTCTGGATCATTCCCCTCAGCAGACAAACATGCTATAGTATCACTAATCTTAATACAAACATACACAACGTTCCTTGACCAAATCCCCCCTCAAATACAGATCCATAGCTCTGCTCCCTATTATAGGAAAATATCACCACAGAATTGTGCATACCCCCGTCTTCTCCTCCTCTTCTCCGATGACCCACCACAATCAGGCTTTCATCCTCAGCATTCCATCTAAACGGCTCTTTCAACATCACTAAGAAAGCTCCATTTTCACCAAACCATGTCTCAGTGCTCAACTCAGGCAACTTCCCAGCAGCACTGGCCAGTTAAATGTTGTCTCCCTCCTTCTGAAACACTGTCAGGTGCTACACCTCTCCTGGTTTCCTCCTATCTCATTGGTCGCCCCCTTGTCAGCCTTCTCTTTGGCTCCTCCTCCCTTTCATATGTTCTAAATTGAGGAGTGCCCAGGGTTTAGTTCTTATTCCTCATCAGTCCTTAATGACCACATATCTCCCAGGACTTTGTACACCACCATTCTTAGAAGCTGATGATTGCAGTCCTGGACTAAGGCTCCATCCATAGATATGTTAGGAATTCCACTTAGATGTCTGATAGGATATAAAATTCAAGAGAATTCTTGATTTAACCTCTGATGATGCTTTTTCCCCTGAACTTGCCCATCTTACTTAAATGGCACCATCATTTGTCAAATATTCACTTGAACTAGGAATGAAGGCAATGAAGGGTATGAGAAGTAGTCAGACTGGGATATATTCTAAAGGTAGCTCTAGTAGTACTTGCAAATGACTATGGGGAGAGGCAACAAATGGAGTTGAGCATCAAAAAGCAACATTAAAAAGGAGATTTTTTTAAGGAAGTTAAATGGTGACACAAGAAAAATAAATCATTAAAGGGGAAAAGGGAGGGCTGTTGTGGTCTACCATTTTCTGGGGTCACAATTAACAGACTGAAGCATTAATTATCAAATTGTTTTATATAGATGGACCTAGTTAGCTGGATTGAATCTAAGCTGGTGTTTTTTGATATCCCAACCTTCTCTGAGGTTACTTAATTGGGAGACGAGAAAGGGAAACTGGCATACAGCCTCTAATACTTTGGGGGGGGGGTGTTGAATTCACAATGCAAAATGACCCATCAGCAAACCAGAACACAAGGGGCAGAGAGAGAGTCGCAATTCCAACAGGTTAAAGGTTCTACATTGGTTACAGACATGCTTGGGTTTGCATCATTCATTCTCTCCCTGGATGTTCTTGGGCAAGCTTCTCAAACTCTCTAAGCCTCCGTTTTGTCTAAAATGGGGATTGAAAAACAGCAACTCCCACCTAACCCCCGAAATTGCAGGTGACTGAAATAACATTTTTAGCATAGAGCCTGCACTAGGACTTTGCTTTCTCCTGACCTACACAGAGATGATCATCCAAATTTACGAGGCAGCCTTAGCTGTAATATTTAGGTGGTGACTCCTCTACTCCAGCCAAGCGCCCTGTGGTCACATTTGACTTTGGGCTCTGTGTTTTGTTTTTGTTTTTGTTTTCCTCACTTTCGTTCCTCCCCAGCTGATAAAGAGGAGGGCCTAATGCAGAACCCCAAACCTTAAATACCTACTTCCACGATGCCCACTTCTTTTAGAGGGCTGGTTATACAGTTCCTCCTTTTTAGTTTTCTGAATTATTTTCAGTCCGTCAGAGGTTAAAAGGGTTATTTATCTCTTTACTAACCTCTCCTCCAAATTGTATTAGGCAAATGATTTAAGCACAGTCGGATCAACAAGTCTCTGGGTGATACAAGAGTTTTGAAGAGTGCCCTGAACTCAGTTGAAAGGCCTTACTTAGGGTAAGAATTGTGGCATTTCAACTACGGTTGGGGACCTTCCGCAATACTTTTAATGGCTGTAGACCCTACTGTAGGGGAGAGTGCTCGCAGCTCCTCAGTTGCAGTCCCTCCTTATTCTGGGTAATTTTTACCAGTAACACGCACTAGACCAGTTTTCACAATCTTCTATTTTTAGACAGGTTCCTCCCACCCCACCTTCGCAGCACCCAGCTGCTCTGCAGAGGCAAAGAAAACACCCATTCAAGTTGGGTTCTGCCTTGAGGGACTTCCTCATCGTGCCCGCGGTCAGGCCCCAGGCCGGCAGGGGACGGCTCCGGCGCTCCCGGCCACGGCAGGCCCCCCGGGTCCGCGGGGCGGCGGGACGGCCGCGGGCGCCGAGGGGTCGGGCCGCAGAGCACCAGCAGCCACCGGTGCCCCGGCCCCCTGTGCGCGGGGATCGCTCGGCGTTTGCTCCTGTCCCCGGCGACGTCCTTCCTCAAGGGGCAGGGGCGCCCTGGCCCGGCCCGAGGCCACCGCGGGGCCGCGTACCTGCTCGGCGCCCGCCGCCTCGGCGTCTTCGTCCGGCGCGGGGCCCGCGCGGGGCCGCCCGCCGACTCGCTCCGGGGGTTGCGCAGGCTGCTCGGGCTCCTGCCCCGGGCCCTCGCCGCCGCCGCCGCCCGGCCCCGGCTCCTCGGGCTCGGGCTCCGAGTCCGTCTGCCAGGTGGAGTCGCAGTCCTCCACGGTGGTGGGCTCGCGGAAGCTGACCCCGCCGAGCAGGTTGCCCATTGAAGAGGCGGCGGCGGGCGCGGGGCCGCGGGGCGCGGGACGGGGCGCTGGGCGCGGGATGCGGCAGGCACGCTAGGGCCCGGGCATGGCCTCGGTGAGGGCGCTCGGCGGCAGCCTCGGCCCGCCCGCCGCCGCACTGCCTCAGCGCGGCGAGCGGCAGACAGGCACACTCGCGGGGAGGAGCCGGCGGCCCCGGGACCGCCGCCGCCAACGCTTGAACCCGCCCATCTGGTTCCTTCTCCCCACCCGCGGGAGCCGGCGCCGGCCTGGAGTCCCGGGGAGCGAACTGCCGCCGCTCCCCGCACCCGCGGCCTCAGGGACACACCTCACTGCCCCTTTTCCACCCCGGAAGGCCTGCCTTCGCTGGGCCTTTGACGTCTCCTGGGGAGGATCGGGGTCTGCAGTTCACCCGCCCCTCTCCACCCCTACCCGGGGCAGGACCACCAGCCGCTCTCCACCCCTACCCGGGGCAGGACCACCAGCTTGGGGCTCCTCCCAGCTGAGCGGGAAGAGTGGTCCCGCCCAGCTCTGGGAGCCGCGGGCTGGGGTGGACGTGATATCGAAGGCGGTGTCACAGTCTGCGGGCGAGTCCTGTCCACACCTCCTCCTCCTCCTCTCCCGGCTGGTCCGGGAGAAAGATAAGTTAGCCACAGCAGAAGACAAAAGCTAATGGTGACGGCATCACATAAACAGAAAATCCAAGCTACCACGCCTGCATGCATGTATTTAGGGCAGCCACCTAGAGTCCCCATGGATGAGATAGAGTCAAAGCTATCTGTCACCTCATCTAATGAGCAAATATCTCTTGAAACAAAAGGAGCAATAACAGCTAGACTTCCCCATTGATCTGATGATTGTTTTACTATCACCCACTCCAAATCCATGCTCTGAGTAGACTAAAACCTCAGAATCGTAGGCCTCTTGGTCTGTCCTGGAAATGAAAGGAGGAGGGAACACGTGTTATAGAAATACTTAAAGATAAAATAGCATGATCAAATAAGTAGCCCAGAGCAAAGTGGCCGTTGTAAACCTTTAACTGGAAGGAAAGCCTCTTGAAGGCAGTCATGTCTGTATGCACGCCAGAACTTGGTAGGTACTCAGTACACATTTGTTGAATGTGAACTGAGAAAATAGGTTAGATATATCTTATAAATTGGTGTACTTGAAATATGTAGTTTCTTTTTAAATATTGTATGATAAAATGGGAGACCGAGTCAAGGCCACTGGTCTATTTATCTAGGGGAAAAATCAGGAGAACAGGGTACCCATTCTACAGATGAATCAAGATTGCCTCTCTTCAAGCACGCTGCAGGAGACTCCAGCTGTGGCTCTGTCCCTAATCAGTTTCTGACCTTGGACAGGTCACATAGCTACTTTAGACCTAAATTTCATCTATAAAACACAACCAGATTTTATCTCTGGGGTCCTTTGTAGCTCTGATCCTCTAGGGTCCGAGACTGGAAAAGCTCTAAAACTAATACATAATAGACACCAAACACACAGAAAGACTTTTTTCATCATAATGGCTCAGTGAAGAAAAAAATGGAGCAACAGTAGAACACACGAATCCAACTGCTCATATCTGGGGATTTGGATTCATCTTCTGTTGGCAGAGAACCAGAACACATTGCAGAAGTAAATGCTGTCCGTCCAGCCATAAGCATTCCAGACAGAGGGAGTCTAAGGATAGTTGCTATGCCCAGGTGCTCCATCAGTTGGTCTAGTTGTAAGTAGATTAGAGTTGGCCTCATATTCTTTGCTTTCCTCCCATCAAGAGATAGAGTCTAATTCCTCATCCCTTAAATTGGGACTGACCTCAGTGACTTGCTTTGAAAACTAGGATATGGAGGATTTTCAAAAACAAAATACCTTAAATGTTCAAGGTTAAGCTACAGTGAAACTTGCATCTTCTACTGAGTTGTCTTGGAACATACTTTCTGGTAGCCCTGAGCTGCCATACAAGAAGATTAACTCTTATGAGACTGCCATGCTGGAAAGGCCACTGTGTATGTCTTCAGGTCACCAGTCCCAGCTGAGCCCTGCCTTCCAGCATCCCCTGTTGAATCCTGCCGACTTTTATTGGATCTTCCAGACGAGACCATCCACCGACTGAATACCTCTCAGTGACCTCCACTGATGCCATGTGGAACAAGGGAACCACTCAGCAGAACCCTGCTCAAATTCCTGACCCTCAAAACAGTGAAATATAATAAAATGACTGATGTTTTAAGTCATTAAATTTTGCAGTAGTTTGTTATACAGCAGTAGATGATGGCACAGTGAAAAGTGTCTGCATAAGCCTATATGTGTTTGTGTATATAACTGCTACAATTAAATCCTTACCTTCGCACTACCTTTTGGCCAATATATCAGATTTTTATAGGGCTATAGATTTTGTGCCAAGCTGTGCAATACATTTTCTAAAGAACATAATTTTACATGAGGTATTACAAAACCTTAAGTAATATTTTTGAAAGTTTATGGCATAATTGATCATGTTGTATCCAATCTATGTATTTAAGAAAATTCTGGAGATATGTCATCTCTTGGTTCTATACACAGGACTTACCCTACCCAAAAACCTAAACTTTTTCAATATCCTAACTCTTAAGAGAATTTAACACTCCTGCATTGACACTAAAGAAGTGTGTCTTTGCTTCACGTAAAAAATTCAACACTTAGCCAGTGCCAGGCAGATATCAATTTATCAATATCTGTTAGCTCTAATAACTATTTATCTAATATATCTACAAAGAGCATTGAATTTCACAATATACATAATAATATTTAATAATATAATAATATTTAATAATATAAATATATATGGAAAAAAGAGAAACTACTATGACAGTGCCTATTATAAAGTATAACTTCTAACTCCCTGTATCCAGGACCTACTATAAGCTATACAGATACCGTAGCCACGCTCCAGTGTAGCTGTCTTCAAACTTGTCATGGTTTCAGCCATGTCCTTGAAGGGTGAGGCCTTTGTAAGGAGGAACTGGGGCTTTTGGAATGAAACTTTTTAAAATAGAACCCAAGACATACGTGACATATCTTAAAGGTTTTTTTTTTTTTTATAATGAATTGTGTTTTAGGGATGTTAAGAAAAAAGGTTTATTGCTATATAATTTCCTTTGAGAGCCTTTCAAATAAAAGGCCATGTTATCCAACCTCAGGAATTAACTTCTTAGTAGTTCTCAGGAACGTAAGACCTACGGAGAAAAAAAAATAGTGTTATAAAAAAAATTACCCTCTTTTATCAAAAGCAATTCTATTTCCATTATTTTTGATAGGAGTGTTTTTTGTTTTATTGTTTTGCAGTAAAGTAAAAGTGGAGGGAGTAAATAACTAACATCCTCAACAGACTTGAGAAGTTGGAGCCGTCCTAGCTACATATGTGAGGTGTCCTCTGCAGCCTTTTTCTGACCACTGGAGTATTGGCCAATACCCTGAAGCAACAACATATTGTATTTCATGGAGTCTAAGAAGGAATCAACTCTAAGATGCATCCTATTTCAGAGATATTTAAATGTGAAAACTGTACATTGTACAATCCATGCAATATGGTGGTTTGCCAAGAGAGAAGTTTAACATTTTTAAAGGACTAATTTATTCCTAAGAAGTATTTTACACTTCAAAGACCAGCTCTAGATTCATTTCCAATACTGAGTATTTTCATAGCTTAGAGTCCTTTGTACCAATCACACTAACTTATTAATAAAGAAAAGGAAAAGTTCATAGAATTTATGAGTATTGAATTAGTATATAATAAGATATCAGTGGAGATAAGTTGAAACTAATATAAGAATTTGGTAATAAACCATCATTTGCATAACTAAGCAAATAATTTCAGCCTATAGACTAAAAATAGAGCCGTGTTTAAATTGAAAAAATAATAACCATTGTCCAATAATAACATTTGTTTGGAGTCTTTATTTGGATAATTCAGCAGCATTTAGATCCATATTTTGGGGTTTGTATTTAATTTAAGATGCTATACTAAAAAGAGAAACTGAAAATATCTTTTCTAGCCACATTTAAATAAAATGAAACATTCTAATTTTCAAAAGGAAATTGATATAAACAGTATGTAATACAGGAATTTTCACCTCAATCAAAAAAGAAAAGAAGAAATTTTACCTATTGCCTCCAAACCTATTGTTTCTTTTCCATGAATATAAATAGGTATGTATCCCCAAATCCCCTTTTTCCAATTACTATTAAATATTTGCTATTATTTTATATAATGTGTGTTCTTGGCCCTTTAAATTTATCTGACTGCTTCAAAGTATGACAGTAACCGAATATGAAATGGATATGTAAACACATTGTGGATTTTCGGCCAGCTCAGAAGGGTGCTTGTTATTAAATATATAGCCAAGGAATATGGGACTCTCGTGGGTTCCTCCAGGCTTCCTCAGAGTTCCTGCCCTTCTCTTCTACAGTTACTTTTAATCTTGTGAAAAGACTCCCAGAGGCAGGTTGTAGGAGTGGATCTCCTCCACGCTACTCAGGGCATAGGTGCCCCTAAGAGGACGCAGGAGAAGGAGCAGACGTGCTGTCACTGAGCCCTGGGATGCTCAGAGACCCAAAGGCAAGCATTGGGCACTTTATCCAAGGGCTTGATGACAGCCTCAATATACCAGAGGAGCCAATTCATGTTTCTGCCTAAAGATGAGGGTAGGCTGCTTAAGCCCTAACCAACCCCAGACTCTGGTCCGGCCTTCTATGAGATGGGCGAGCTGTTTGGGGCAGGGGGGTAGGGTGTTAAAGAATAATTCTTCATTGATGTCAGCAACTCCATCAGGAAAAAAAACTGACCCATGGCGCATGTGGCAAGGGGAGGTACAATCCATCCAGATGGCTGTCTCTTCAAAGAGAGGCACCATCCTATTTGGCAACAGCTGTTTCTTCCAGGCTTCATAGCTTACAACGACCTTTAGAAGTGCTTAGACGCGGGCGCCTGGGTGGCTCAGTTGGTTAAGCGACTGCCTTCGGCTCAGGTCATGATCCTGGAGTCCTGGGATCGAGTCCCGCATCGGGCTCCCTGCTCAGCAGGGAGTCTGCTTCTCCCTCTGACCCTCTTCCCTCTCATGCTCTCTATCTCTCATTCTCTCTCTCTCAAATAAATAAATAAAATCTTAAAAAAAAAAAAAAAAAAAGAAGTGCTTA